GGGGCCAGCCAGCTGTTGTCCCCCAGCCACATCAGGACAGATGGCTGCTCGGAAACAGACGTGGGTTGGAGCTGGGCCCAGGGCACTGTCGCTTTGAGAGGTGTTCCCTTGTCCCTTGTGGCACCTGGCCCCCAACTACCTGGGTCACGTCCCACTTGCAAAACCACCCAAGAGATGTGCAGCTTTGAGCAAGTGACTTCGCCTCCCTGAGTGTTGCCTGCCTCGTGGAGTTGCTTTGAGGATCCAATGAGTGAGTTTCTGCAACAGTCTACAGCCCACAGTTGGGGCAGTGTTATTTACTAATGTTACATAAAGTTAGAGGGAGAAGCAGGCAGATGTGGCATCTGTGAGATGTGTGGTGCTGGAGCTCAAGAAGGCAGATGGGCTTTGGTTGGGCTGCTGGTCCCACTACCCATGTGCCAAGTCACAGTGATAGGGCATCCTGGGGGCAGCGGCCTCGTCTCGTTGTGACAGGATGAGCTCGGGGGCTGGAGCCATCTAAGCAGAATCCCTGCCCATGTCTCCACCAGTCACAGTGCCAGCAAAGGGTGCCTTCTCCTCATCTCAGGGGCGTCAAAGGGAAGCCAGTGGGAGGTGGGAATGTTAGAACAAGCATAGCAACAACACAGAAGAGCTGGAAGATGGCCTGCTATGGCCCCAAGACCCTGGGGAGCCCTTGTCTGTGCTGAGATCATGGAGAGAAGGTGTGTGCAGGTGTGTGCAGGTACATGCAGGTGACAGCAGTTGTGCAGACATGTGTGGGGCAGCTTAATCAGTGGCTGTGACAGGGAACCTCAATAGCTTGGCTGAAGGATAATAGGAAAGAGGGATCAATTCAATCCCCAGGAGCTCCGTTCCACCATCCCACTGACCCTGGACAGATAGCAGGCATGTGCCCTTGTCTTGGGGTGCAGCATCCAGTGCAGGAAATGCCTTTCCTGCCCACCACCCAGTAGGACATTTCTTATGTGCAGAGATGACAACTGACAGCGTTTACCTGTATGGCACATGCAGCCTCAGTGTCAGGGAGCTGTCCCCTTGCTGGCAGGTCCAGGGGGAGGAGGTGTCTTAAAACGGCTCATGAGCGGGGGACGGCCTTTCTAATCTCTGCAAATGTCACTGACTTCCAGAGATCTGTGAAATCACCCAACCGAGGCACATGGCCCATAACTCCTTCTAATGTGCTTTTGTGTCCGTTTCAGCATCTCCACAGGCTCTTCCTGGGAAGACAGAGCCTGCGGATCCCTGGCACCCTCTGCCACACACGGCTCCTGAGGCCTCCATATATGGGGAGAGTCAGAGCATCCGATCACCCCAAGCAGCAGTGCCCAGTGGCAGAGAACACTGCTGGTCTCTGCTCCCAAACAAGGCACCCTCCCCTAGGGCAGATCCTTCCCTCTCCTGTTTCCCATGCTCACAGTCTCTGCAGACCTGGCCATCTCCATAGCCGAGCCTGGGGTTTGGGTCCTCGAGCCACTCTCTCAGTGCAGTCCACAGGCCCAGCTGGCTCCCAGGGCTCCTGGGGAAAGTGGCATCACCTCCAGGGAACCCGGTGTTCCGAGGTCTGCTGTGGAAGCGGGGAAGGGCCAGGGTTTTCCCCTCAGCTTGTCCTGGGCGCTGTGAGGCGTGGAGGTGGCTGGGAGAGGGGCAGCTGTGCTGGACATTAGGACTTTGCCCCCTACCCACTCACTGATGCCAGGCTTAGTGTTTCTCCAGGAAGCAAGGGGTCCTGGGGATCCCAGCATGTTCAGAGCTCAGAGGGGCTGAGGGCATGGCGGTGCCCCGTTTTGAGAGGACGGAGTCCTGAGGAGCAGATGGTACTACTATCGGCAGGAGAACACTGGGGGTGGGGTGGGAGATCACAGCCACCACCCTCCCCCCCTCAAGTTCTAGAGACTTCCAGGACACCACCCCCCCACCATGGTAGCCACATTCTTACAGCCTGAGAATAAGGCTCCTCAACACATGGCAGATATTGAAATGCCAGTTGCCTGAAGGTGGGACATGGAGACTATGGTAGGGGGACAGGTTGGAGGGGTGAAGGGGTTATGGGATTCATGGTCACTGTTTCATTTCCTCATTCAGGTAATACATTGTGAGTGCTAAAAACCTCCCTCATGAAGTTGGTCCTTCACAACAGCCAACTGTCCATCAACAGACAAATGGATCAACACAATGTGGTCCATCCAGCCAGTGGAATCTGACTCAGTTACGAAGTGGAATGAAGTACTGGTATGTGCTATGAAAGGCCAGATTTGATGCCAGTTATGTGGAATGTTCAGAATAGGCAAAACCCACAGAGACAGAGAGTAGCCTAATTTGGGTGTGGGGTCTATGCCAACATCATCAGTTAAGAGTCTCAAGATGAATGACTGATGTCTTTATAAGAAGATGGGGAGGGAGGTTTGGACACAGGGAAGACAGAGGCAGAGAGAGGAATGATGAAGCTACAAGCCCAGGGATGCCCAGATCCACCAAAAGCTGGAAGAGGGACCTGGAATAGACCCTCCCTCAGAGACTCCAGAAGGAACCAATCCCGCGACACCTTGATCTCGGCCTCCTGGCCTCCAGAACTCTTGAGGTGATATATTCCTATTGTGTTAAGCCGCCAGATAGTGGAAATTTGTGATGCTAACCTTCAGAAATGAATACCTGGCTTGCTACCCATCCAGATAATTTACTGATTATGCTCATTACTTGTCTCCCTTTTCCAGAATGCATGTTCTGTGAAGGAGGCAGAGATTTCTGCCTCCTTATCTACGGGTGGGTCCCAAGCTCCTAGAAGGGTACCCACCACATGGAGGCACGTCAGTAATAAGAGATGAGTAGATGGTGTATCTGAGCCCGAAACCCAGCTCCACCAGTTACCAGCCATGGGACTGGGCAAGTTTCCAGACCTCTCTGAACCACAGGGTTCTCTCTGTGGGGCACAAATCCTAGCAACCACTGCCCATGATGCTGCTACAAAGAGTCAATGATTAGAAAGGCAAATACGGTGTCTGATGCAGAGTAAGCCCTCAAACATTAGAAATGGAGTCAGGAATGGAGTCACTTGAAAGTAGATTAACATCAGTTATCAGCCAGGGGCAAATCTGACCCCCAATCCTGGGGCCACGTCTGGAGATATGTTGTCACACCCAGTGGGAGAGGCACTATGGCACCTCGTGGGTGCGGGGGTGGAGGCGAGAGAGGCTGCTCAACATCCTACAGTCACCAGGACAGCCCCCACTACAGAGCTTACCCCGGCCCCACGTCAATAGCGTTGTCAAGTCCAAAACGGTTTCTGGAGTGGAAGCAGCAGGATATCAATACAGAGTGAAAACTCAGACACAGAGTAATATATGTAGGAAGTGGGATCATGGAAGGAGCCTTTGTTTCTATGTTAAGGCCAAGACCTGCCCACTGGCTGCCCTCTTGAAAACACCCACAGAATTTCACCAGCCTGAGTGTAGGGGTCGTCTAACCTCCACTTCTTCCGGAGGGACTCTGCCATACCCACCCCCAGATGAAGGGAAGGAGGCAGGGAGAAGCCTCTCTTGTTATTTTGCTATTGCTTTCACCACCACCATCTCCACCCCTACCCCCACCAACATCATCACTGCCATGCCACCATCATCAGTAGCACCAAATTTTCATAGCGCTGCTCTACAAAAACTAAGTCCTCCTGGGTTTAACCCTGAGGCCCCAGCAGCCACCCATAGCAGGAACTTTCCTGCAGCTTCTCTGGACCCAGACCAGGAAATCCAGACGGAGATGTGCAGGAGGGCTCGCCACCCCTCTGCTCTGCAGCGGGGTCTCCATAAGACGGCGACACATCACAAAACCTTCACTTCCCCTTCGCCACCACGGAAACCAGCGTGCTTCCTCTCCTCCAAAGCGTTTCCAAAGCAGTGGGCAAATTACCAAGGAAATGTTAGCGGTGGCCTGGAGAAGAAGGGAGCCAGCCTGCCCGATGCATCATGCCCTGGAGCTCGCCAACGTGGGGAAGATGCCCACCAAGACCCAGCATGAGCCCAGGAGAAGGGGCACAGATGAGCCTGGCAGAGCGGGGACCTTGGCCCTCAGCAGAAGCTGCCGGGCACCGGGCCCCCAATCAGAGCCCGGTACATCTGTCAGGGCAGCTGGAAGACAGGCAACAGATCCCCCACAGACATCTGCCTGCAGGAGGAGCTGTCCCCGTGCAGACGCTGGAGGTGGGGCCATGCAAGCTGGTTACTTCACTAAGGGAGGAGGAGGAAGGGATGAAGGGAAGGAGGCAACTCTTTTTATAGCAAGCAAACAAACAAACTGTTTTGTTTCAAGAAGCCAAAAAAGAGAGAGAGAAAGAAAAAAAAAAAAAACAGAGAATGTTTCTGGAAGAGCAGTAAGATCCATTTTGGTTAGGGTTAGAGGTGAGGAGGGCTAGCAGCCAGGCACGCTGATGCTGGGGTCTGCCCCGGTCCCCAGAACAGCTATGCACAGCGCAGGCCAGAGTCAGTGGGCCCCCAGCCTGCCCTGTGTGTGACTCACCCCCACAGCTCACAGAAGCCTGGGGAGTGGGGGATTGCTACCCCGAGTTCACAGGCGAAGAGCACGGGGCTCAGCCATGCTGAGGTGACAGGGTCAGTGAGAGGGAAAAACTAGGTGTGGCCCAGCCCCGAGCCCGTCCCCAACCACCCATCCACCCATCACCGACTGTGCCTCCCTGGGGACCCCAGGGTCTCTTGCTCCTGAGCAAGCCGAGAGAGGAGCCCTCCCTGACGTCCTTCTCTCTCATCCTCCTTCCCCATCACCTCCACCCTCTGAACCAAGAACTGATACAACACACCACGATCAGCAGAAGCCTCTCAAGGCCACCCCCTACCCCCCAGACACAGGGTGCCTTCCCTTCCCGCTTCCCTTTGTTCTGGCCATGCAGACACTGGAGCTGCTTGTCAGGGAGAGTGCTCCATCCCATAATAAACAGCACAAACTATTTATAACCCTGAAAACATCTTTATTATTATTTCTCTTCCCTCCAGAAACAATCCCGCGCGACTCTGCCCAGCGCACACGGTGAGGATGGCAGGGCCGCAGGCCGGGCGCTTCCTCTGGCCCTGCCCGCCCGGCAAGCAGATGGCAGCGTGGGCGTTAGGTACCAGCCTCCTGGCAGTCCGAACATCTGTTCCCGTTAGAAAATGCTAATTGCCATCAATCAGGACAGCACCTACCCACATTTACATGCAAGCACACACACACTCACACACACATGCAAAAATACATCTAAATTTCTCCAAACACAACACTCCCTGCATGATAAATAGGAGGTTGGTGCCTTCACCAGGCAGAGGCCGGCACCTCCCTGGAGGCTCCACCTGGGCCACAGGGCCTCTCTGGGACCTGCCCTGGACCCACAGCCAGGAAAGAGGTTAAGGAGTCCCTCAGTGGACACCAGGGCTCCAGTTTCCCCAGGCTTTCATCCACACACCTGGGAGTGGACACTGGGTCACTGGTTCTGTGCAGCAAGAATTAGGTCACCTGGACAGAATGCCTGCAGACACCAGATGTTCCTTTGAGCTCTCCTTCTCCATCTGGGGGGTGGGGGGCATCTGCATGGCGGACCTCTCTCTGAGCGAAGGTTCTGGGTGCCCCACACCTCCCAGGAATAACCCAGCTACATCTTTCAGCCCAGAATTCTGCCCCATTTCCAAACCTGGAGGGTGGTCCAGAAGATTCCGCACCTCCCCAAGTACTTATGGGGAGACACGCTACAGTACATTCATGGCCCCCAGGCTGGCCTCCTCTGTGGGTGTGTATTGTGGCCCATGATGCTGGGACCAGCTTTTCTTGCTCTCAGGTGTCAGACTAGACCTCCCCCTGGTGCCCAGTCTCCATCCCCCAGCCTGGGGCCCTGGGCTTCACTCGCCCATAGACTACAGTTTGATTGACATGTCCCCAGATCGCAGTGATCTCGAATAGTCGAGGGGCCAGGGGGCATGGTGCTTCCTACCACAAAGCCTCGTCCTCCCAAAGGAGCACAGACCCAGGCTGCTCCCCTCGGGAGGGCAGGCCACAGCAATGCAAGACCCTGTCAACAGTGACTCTCAGCCAAAGTGTGAAATCCCAGGGCCCCAGTGCTTCCAGAAGGTGGCTTGGAGTATCAGCCTGTTACATAAGGAGAAATGTGTATTTTCCTGAGACTCCTCCCTCACCGCTCCCCCCACCCCACACACACCCCTCTATACACACCCTGAAGAGAGCAAGAAAATTTGCTTTTTTTTCCTCCCGAGTAGCAGGTGTTGCTGTGGGATTCAGGGACTTGTTTGAGTGGTCAGTTCAGATGACTGAAGGAGGGGCGTCTGTGTGTCCGATGAGCGAGGTTCAGGCTCCTCTCACCTGGGGGGATCAGGTGGAAGAAGGACTCGACCCACAGCTGGCAGCGACCTCCATCAGTATAGCATCATTGTCATCTATGACCCTGGCATGGGGCTGCCCTCACTCCCACAGTGATGGGGGGAAGCATGTGGCTACATGAGATGGTGAGGAGAGGCCGGCGGGTCATGTTTCCCCATCTGCTTGCTCTAGTTCCCCAAAGTAGGAAATTTCTGGTGAGGGCAGAAAATAAAGAGCTGCGGCGGGGGTAGGGGAGAGGAGGAAGGGGGGGAAGGGCAGAAAACCCTGCACAGGCTCCAAGCACCTTTTCAATTGTTCTTCCTTTAGGAAGGGCCTGTGAACACACATGGGGTGTTTGGCCACAGCCACGTGATGTCCATGGAGCATGTTCCTTTTGGATGCTGGTGCTCAGGGCTCCTGTCCCCACTTTCTGCCCTGCCTGCCCGAAGTAGAAAGGTTTTAAAAAATCCACGAACTTCTACCCCTGACGTCTCCCCATCTGCCAAGGTGGGCAGTGAGACCTGTGTGCACCTGTCCACTGAAATACACTCCACTGGCCCCATGGCCCGAGTGGTCAGCATCAAGGGGAGTGTCATCCCCGACCTGCTTCATGCCAGGTTCCGGGAGCTGTATGCGGTGTTTCAGGCTCCACTTCCACTGGGCTTGTCATTGTCTCTTCAGAATTCCGTGTTTCTCTCCACTGAGCACTCTAAGAGTGCCCAGGGAGAGACCTTGAGCAGGGTCCCCAGGAAGTGTCTTCCTTCTCAGATGGGCCGCTCCCATCGGGCTCCTCCAGCCTCTGATTTCTCCTCAGCTCCGGTGAGCGTGGCCTGTCTCCCCTCTCGGGACCCCGGACTTGGGCCCCGGAGGAGGTCCTTTGCCAGCACCAGGGACAGGGCCTTGTGCCGCCTCCCTGCCCAGCGCCTGCAGCTTCCCCCATGGCGCCTCTCAGTCTGAGTCCCTTCCCTGTGGAGATGCAGGATGTCCCCGGGGCAGGTGCCCTGGGGGACACTGGGGAGGTAAGGACCATGATGGCACCAAACCTGGGCACTACGTCCAGACCCAGGAGCCCTGATCTGGCCCACTTTCTTAACCCCAACTCGGGCCATCCGGGCCCGGGTCATTCTCTGTTGGTGGGAGCTGCCGTATGCACTGGAGGCTTTTCTGGCCTCCGTCCACAAGACGCTGGTAGCATCTCCCAGTGGTGACAATCAAAGATGTCTCCAGACGTGGCATAGTGGCCCCACGCTGAGCCCAGAAAGCCTCAAGATGACAACCATAACCCTTGGCCCGGAGGAGGAGCTGGACGTTTACCAGCTGTGAGGAGGGGCAGGGCAGGGAGGATAAGAACAAAGAGGCAGCATGTGGGTGGGACAGTGAGGAGGGAGGGAGGGGCCAGGCGGACAGGACAGGTCAGGGGCTGGATGTTGACGGCCGTGGACGTCACAGCCAGATGCCACGTGTCGCATGTCAGTCCTGATCATCATTCCAGGAGGCTCCTCGGGCACATTTCCACATTTCCCTTCTGCCTTCTGCCTGGCTTTCCTCACCAACTGCCACCCCCCAGTGCTTATTTCCTGCCTCACAGCCTCCCTAGTTGGCTGAGGCCTGAGAGGTGATAGAAGGCCCCACTTAAGTATGAAAGACAGCAGGGCAAGGAAACACTCCCACCCTTATAAGATCAAAAGAGGAAAAAGCTTAAAAATAAACTTGGCAGTAATAATAATAAGCAATGATTTCCAGAGAGGAGGTGGGTGGGAAGATACGGATGGACAACAATAGGTAATGAACATACACATAGATGGACAATAGATACATGGATGGATGGATAAATACATGCATGATTGATAGATAGATATATTGTTCCTTGGAAGGAAAATTATGACAAACCTAGACAGCATATTGAAGAGCAGAGGCATTGCTTTGCCGACAAAGATCCCTATAGTCAAAGCTAAGGTTTTTCCTGTAGTCACGTATAGATGTCTGTGTTGGTCCATAAAGACAGTTCACCATCGAAGAATTGTTGCTCTCAAATCGTGGGGCTGGAGAAGACTCTTGAGAATCCCTTGGAATGCAAGGAGATCAAACCAGTCACTCCTAAAGGAAATCAACCCTGAATATTCATTGGAAGGACCGATGCTGCTGCTTACACTCCTAAGATCTCTGCTGCAAGTGTGGGTTTTGGGTCTGATCCTTCCCCAAGCACACTAGGGGCTGCATGGAACCTGCCACATTGGACATCCCCTTACACCCACAGCTGAACACAGCTGGATCTGTGTCCTCAGGAAGCAGATTCCTTTCCAGGGCCCAGACCCTCATGGTGGGACTCCAGCAGGGAGACATAATGTAAGGCAAGGAATGTTACATGCCAGGGGAAGGGCAGTTTGCTGAGCCAGAGTCAGGAGAAGATGTGTGAAGCAGGGAAAGACAGTCAAGGTCCTCTGCTTACTGAGTGCACTTCCAGAGCCGGGCTCCTCCCACGGAAATACACATCTCACAGAGTGCTCTGAGGATTAAATAAGAGCCCAGTGTGAGAATTTCACACATGTATGTGGGTTCTCCTGCTGACCATAGGCTGTCTATTTTGTCACTCCTTGTACCATCCTATGCTTAGCTCAGGACCCACAGCACCAGGTCATTTTCTGCCCTTAATGTGCTCCAAAAATGTTGGAGAATGAATACATACACATTTGGATTTCATCCTAACTATGGATGTCACCTGCAATGCAGGAGACCCAGGTCTGATTCCTGGGTCAGGAAGATCCCTTGGAGAAGGGAAGGGCAAGCCACTCCAGTTTTCTTGCCTGGAGAATTCCACGGACAGAGGAGTCTGGCGGGCTACAGTCTGTGGGTCACAAAGAGTCAGACATGACGAAGCAGCTAACACACACATGGATGGCACCAGCTTGAGACATCATCCCACCTCCAATGGCCAACAGGGGTATCTCTGAGACATTACCCCACCCACACAGAGAAGAAAGAGTGGAGATTGTTACCAGTAATTGGCAAGCTGATGGGGGTGGAGTATCTTCACTGAACAGCTGATCTCTAGGCCACTAGGACCCCTATATGAAATGTCATAGCATTGTATGAAGGGTCTTATCCAATTTTACAGGTGATGCCATTAAAATATATCTAATCCAATCCACCACCCCCCAGTACACATGTGCATCTCATGTTAGAAACCCTCCCCCACATCCTCACCAAGCTTCTCAAACCAGGGACCCACCCCTAACCACCCCCTTAAGGCACTCAAGGAATCATGGTGATGAGAAGAGGTAGCTGAGTAAGCATGCACAGCATTTCTAAAGCGTTTCAGCTGAAGTATTTTGGAGAAATGGTACTGTTACGTTACAACCAGCAAGAGCATATTGTGGAAGAGATGGAAGATCCGCATGAATTTTTAAGATAACAAATAAGACATCAAAGAGATGTCAGGTTTCCTTGGACCCCTTCTGGCAACAGATATCCAGTCTTTCAGGGGTGCAGGTTTAATATTTCTACCCTTTTGGAGTCTTCAGAGGAAAAAATCATACCTCCAGTGAAATGCTATGTGCCCTCTATCATCCAAGACAAGCCATTTAATCTCCCCTTTCCAGAGCACAGCTTACTCCGTGCAGGTGCAAGCTCTACTGCTGGGATGTACTCCCATGTTAAAGAGATTATAACCAGGCCTTCCTTTAGACTCAGAAAAGGAGAAAAATTCACTCAAATTAAGTTCTCCATAGAAGATAAAATAAGGCTTGTACCTGCCTCAGCGAAAATGCCTCAGCCTTCCCAGCTGCCAATGGAGGCGGATCCTGGGCCCATGCCTGCCTTGTTCTGGAGGCCGGTAGAATGAGTAGTCTCCCACTGGAGTGGCCTGCCAGGCATCTGAGCTCCTGGAAAGTGGGGTCAGAGTGAAATGCTCCATGTATGCCCTGGGGACCGAGAGCAAAGCATTTTTGCAAAGAATGTATGGGGCTACGTGAAGTACTTAATAACTAAAAAGTCCTTACACTCTTGCCTTGGGAACTTTTAGAGCAGCAGAATGGTCTAGAACAGTGACCAATCCAATGACATTCTGGCTCACAATGAGAGAAAACATTCTCTCGTGACCTCTGGTCATGTCAGGTACAGGGGACATTTGTCCTGGTTGTCCAGGTTATCTAACACTCGGGTGTGCAGGCATCTGTTTCCTTAGCTGCAAACAGCACAACAGAGATTAAGATACACAAACTTACAGCCTCTCAACCAAATACACTGTAGAGAGGATAATCGTGATTTGAAAATTCTTCCTAGTGACAACACGCCTTACTCTGTAAATGCTGTTGAGTGAGTAATGTGCTCCCATCCCCTCGACAGGGTCTACGACGGAGCAGATTACTCCTACATTACACCTGGGGTGACCAGTGAGTCAACGCTTCCCAGGGGGAAGGGAGTGTGTTTCAAGGGTGTTTATATCAAGACATTCTGTGGGAAGTCTTTTATGGAATCCTACTAGGTGCGAGGCTGTGGGAAGAACACAGAAGCAGCAGAAGACTGCGCCCTTAAGAAACCCAAGAGAGAAACAGAAAAGTAAATATCCTATACTAATGTATATATACAGAGTCTAGAAAGATGGTACCAAAGAATTTATTTGCAGGGAAGCAATGGAGAAACCGACATAGAGAACAGACTTATGGACACGGGAAGAGGGGAGGAGGGGGTGAGATGTATGGACAGAGTAACATGAAAACTTGCATTATCATATGTAAAATAGAGAACAAACGGGAACTTGCTGTATGTCTCAGGAAACTCAAACAGGGGCTTTGTATCAACCTAGAGGGGTAGGATGGGAAGGAAGATGGGAGGGAGGTTCAAGAGGGAGGGAATATACGTATACCTATGGCTGATGCATGTCGAGGTTTGACAGAAAACAACAAAATTCTGTAAAGCAATTATCCTTCAATTAAAAAATAAATAAATTTTTAAAAAAAGAAACCCCAAAGAGGGAGGGACCCAAGAGGAGCTTCCATAGACAGAGAATGTAGAAAGGCAGCTGCAGTGTCTGTTTTATGTACCTTCTGATTGCCCTCTGTGGACGTGGAGGGATGGAACCAGAGGGCAGACAGCAGAGAGGCAGGGCCTGGGTCATGCCAACTTGGCATCCCTCCTGGTATGGTCCCCCAAAACCTGGAATGATGGATGCCTGCTGGGATCTTGCCAAGCAAACTACAGTGGCCATGCTGTTTTGGGGGAGGTGAGTGTCATCCTTGAAAAAAAAACTTGCTATTTTGAAATAATTTAAGACTCGAAGAAACTGCAAAAATAGTGCAGAGAATTCTCACATCCCCTTCTGTTATGGGCTGACTTGTGTCCCCTCCAAATTCATTAAGTTGAAGCCCTAACCCCCAGTATCTCTGAGTATGACTGTATTTAGAGAGAGTTTTAAAGGGTCATTGGCTCCGTGCATGCTCAGTCATGTCCAACTCTTCTGAGACCCCGTGGACTGTAGCCCACCAGGCTCCTCTGTCCATGCAATTTCTCAGACAAGAATACAGGAGTGGGTTGCCATTTCCTCCCCCAGTGGATCTTCCCGACCTAGGCATCGAACCCATGTCTCTTGCATCTCCTGCATTGCAGACGGATTCTTTACCATTGTGCCACTTGAGAAGCCTGTAAGTTTAAATGCAGTCATACGAGTGGGCCTTAATCCAATCTGACTATCTCCATGCGAGAAAAAGAGGTTAGGACCTGGACACATAGAGGGATGACCATGTGAGGATGCGGAAAAAGATGGCCATCTACAAGCCAAGGAAAGAGGCCTCAGAAGAAACCAACCCTGTTCACACCTTGACCCTAGATGGACTTCCAGCCTCCAGAACTGTGAGAAAGAAAATTCCTGTTCACCATTCAGTTTGGGCACTCTGTCATGGCAGCCCAAGTAAATGAACATACCCTCACACATGAACACATTCTCAAACCAGGTCAACCAC